CATAGCAGAGATATACTTGAAGATGGAGCATATGATCATAAAGTTTGGAAAATTAATACCATTGATTTCTAACGTTAGAAGTTGGAATATCTTTCAATGATATTCTTAAGTGATTTTCTATTGAATTGTAATTTTGTTTTTAGCTATTGTTTCCTTTTTTTCTTTTAATTTGTTTTTTTAAACTTTGTCTAAATGATTATGGGATATATTTCTTATTCTCTAACTGGGATACTAATCAACCCTCGAGTTGTCTTAAACTTTGGTATCCTCTGCATCTCAACAGTTTAAAAATAGGAGATATTGGATTTCATTTCATTTATAATAAGTTTAATTTAACAAATTTAGTTTCAATAAGATCCCTTTTTCTTGTTGAAAAAGGAACCATTAGCTTCTTTTTTCTAGATTGTATTAGGTTGTCATCTCTTTTATTTTATTGCAATTTCTTGCATTTCTTCAAAAAAAAAAATTTGAACTCTTCTATAAGCAAAACCTAGCATCTATTCATATGAATACACAAAAAGGTAACTAGTACTATGGTGCTCAAAGGATAGGCGCTGATGCACCCTTAAAATGGACAAGCACCCTGACGCTAAATTTTTTGCTATGTCGCGGTGTTTGATGATGTGGAATAGTTTCTTAGTGCAAAGTTGTGACCTTTCCCTTGAACATTGTAGGCTTTAAAAGTTATAACTGCAATACCATTACACTATTGACTTTCAGGTACTACGAAGCCTAATTGGAAAAATTAGCACAAAGTCATAAGAAATTATGGTGCCACAACATTTAAATTCCCAAAAACATGGCACCGCCAATTTAACTTCCTAAAACATATTCGCTAGATGTGCCACTTCCTAGCATTCAAAAATAGTGAACAGGGCGCTAATATGTCAAAAATGTGGCACCTCGATAGTGTTGAAGGCGGTGCCGTGATGGTGTTTCTTCTTACACCGTGTCGCTATAGGCTTCGTAGTATTTTTGCCATTTTTTTAGTTTTCTGTAAAAAATTAACTAAAATAACATATTTTTATTGAAAATAAAATATATTAAATAGTAAATAATTTACACTTATCACTTATGTCATATATAGATTTAGAAATCCAAGCTTGTAGCCAGTGGAACTTAATTACCTTTACTTTACAGACCTGAGTTTGTATATTGAGTGGTACTTTCCAAAGACACTTTTATTACTTTCTTTTATATGCATTGCTTTGGTTGATTGTCTTCTTTTTATATGATGTGAGAAGTAAAAATTGTATGATTTTTCTAGGTTTTTTGGTATTGCATGTGCTTTTGCTTGGACTCACACATTTGGCTCTTAGGACTGTGATGTTGATACTTCAAAACACAAACAATTTGCTTTATATATTCCTTGCATGCATATTTACTTTTATGCTATAGACACTGTATATGGCAGTCATCCTACCAAATTTTTATTTCAAAATTGAACATATAGAATTGCATTACTTGCATATATAAAGCTTATTTCAAATTGTATTAATTAGGTTCATTTGAACCCCTAGAATTTCAAAACTCTGATTTGAATTCTAACCTTAAACCTATATCTATTATTAAACAAGATCTTATTCATCCAACATTCATTAGACTTGAAATCATATTTTTATAAAAGAGTAAAGTTGATTAGCTTGGTGTCCACTCGCTACCTTTCCTCCTACGAATTACAAGAAAATACGAGTTCAACTTTGATCCATTCTCTGTTGGCAAACCTTAATTTCAATTCTTTATTTGAAATCTTTATAAATTATTAAAGATTTAATTATCATTTTAATTTAGAGTTTTCTCAAGATTTATATTGCGAAGTAATTAATTATAGAGGTTTGTCTTTATGGGGAACGTAGAACCCTAGTAAAAAAAACCTTACATTATTTCGCTAAAGTAGGGGAAAGCCTCTCGGCATAGACAATCTTTATATTGATTATTTTTATTTTAAAAAATGATAGTTGAATATCATTTTATCTTTTGAGATATTAAAATATTTTATATATTGCATTTGATTAAAAAAACTGTAGAAACTATTTCTATTTTTTAATCAATAGTGAAACATCATTTTATCTTTTGAGATGGTATATAGTTGACTACGCATATTTGATTATAGTACTATAAATCAAAATCTAGTGTGGATATATTTTCCCACATTTCTAAATTTGTTTGATGATTAGATCATTCTACTTATACTTCTCATAATTAGAATTTATGTAGTTGTATTAATTTGTATGTATTTATGAGGTTATAGGGAAATTTTTAAAAATAGTTATTGTATAAAATTATATTATTTTAATCATTACCAAATAAAATAATAGCCATAAATGTCCTTTAAATGGCAACTATATATATATATATAACCTCTAACCGAGCTCCTTCCTCCC